ACACGGGATGGAGAAAAGTAGTCGGTTTGGGCATATGAAATGTAGCAAATATTGCTTTTTGCAAAAGTACTCCAGTTGAAGGTATTCACCAAGCACGGTAAAAGACAATATCGCGCTGAATGAGTAGACGTTATATTTTTTTGGACTTMTATCAGGAGCGTAATGCGCTCTAAGTGGTATGAAGAGAAATCGCTTAGCAGGAWTTTTTTATAAATTGATAAATGTCAATAAGGTATTTTTTTTATGGGAAATTTATTCGAAGTCCGAGAAAGTAATAGTCAAGTTTCTATAAACCATAGATTAAGGTGTTAAGACAGCTATACCAGTTATTCAAATAAACTGACAGCWGGCCCAACATATCTTCTGAGACATGCGGTGTTGGGTTGCATTTTACTCTGATTAAAAATTTTATTTTCCCACAAAAACAAAAATAAAAACAAAAACAAAAAAAAAACTGTTTAGTAATCTTTTCATTTCAAGTTTAACGTTTTCTACCACTTCAAGTGTTAAATTCTCTATTTTTGTTTTTGAAAGTAATTTTTCATAGGAGCCATGCAGAATTCTAACAGTGTGCCAGAATGTGTAAAACACAGTTCTATAACATTACAATAGCTAACGGTTATACAACTTTAATGACGTTTCACATTCTCTCTAATGTGAAGTCAATTCGAGTTCCTATCACGAGTTTACTATAGAGCAGCAGCACACAATGTTAGCTAGCAGAGAAATGTCTAATCGGAGGCAGCTGTAATTGCATAGTAACAGAGTGGCAAGCTGCTATTCACATGGGCTATTGTATTGAATTTAACTGGATAATAAGCAAAATAGTGACGAAAAGTAGATATGAATATTAAAGCAAATGAATTGCTGACGTGGATTAAAGTTATAAATTTTATTACATAATATAATTACAATATACGCACTGTCACAAACTATATGGCACTCAATAAATGTAGTAATAAATAAATAATTCGTAAGATAAATGAGTCAATATAACCCATAACGGTTAGGAGCAATTAATCAGCTTTGTTACCTTCCGAAWTTTTTCGTTTAACTCTTGCTTGCCAATATGAAAAAGTGGTCATAAAAAAGACATTAGCATCGAACTGATCGACTGAACTTAGAAATCAGTGACAATATTTAAATATATATATTTCTGATATAATAATTTCATTAAATTTTATGCAGCAATGATATGAGAAACTAGATCAAACTATTTTTAAACTATAGATTATGCGAAAACAGTTGAAGAGGCCTTTTWAGTCGGAAAATATAATATTAAAATTCTTTTGGAACCCTTCCTTTCAACTTGCCATAAGCTGTATCCCAACCAGAAGCYAACTCTGGATCCCTCATTCCTATTTCATTTCTATATTTAATGTTTTCACCTTCAGACTTCGCAACTATTTTGCAATATCTTATATATTGCCAATAATATTATTTTCCACMGYCSAAATTTGTATTTTTCAATGAAATAATCTACTTTTTGTCAACTGATGATTGCTCTTATCGAAATTCTGCCACTATATTATTAAAAAACATGTAATAATATCAATACATGCAATTTAGTACTTAAAATACATATTTATGTGTGAAATTGCAGGCCAGAGTATTTCTAGTATTTATTTTAAGTGCATACATACATACGCCCTCACACAGGCAGTACGTCCACTCAAATATGCTTTCATCCGCCAACTAGTGTCATTTAAGTGCTATCAGCGATTGAATTAAATTACTTTGCCGCTTCTTTGTAAGCAAATCAAGCAGCCAGCCGCTGCAATGGCCTGAGTCAAGCGTCAGCACTTCGCTCGCGTCAAAATTGYATTTTTGTAGCGGTACCATTTGATTTTTATGTTCCAAATATATATTGCTCCATTGCCTTATGCAAATCATAGTCCGCAGCTTCAATCGCTAACCATTTTCACACATTCGAATGCAAGCCAAATGTTGGCTCCACGGCGCGTAACAAAAGCGTTGAAATTGAGCATAAAAAATCGATAACCCTCTAATGGCAATTGAAGCATCGCAAGTATTCTTCTATTTATCTACTTTCTTTGTGTCACAATGCGAGTCATACTCCAACTGGATACCCACACTCGTATATTTGTTTTTTTTTGTTATATTTTGTTTGTGTTGTTGTGAAGGGAGCGTTCACTTCAATGTACATATGTAGAGCACATAATTGTGCTTGTTGTTGTTTATTGCTATGAGTAATACACACCATACCTGAGAGCAAATTCTTATGCTCAACACATTAGAGCATTTCGATGAAAATTTTCCATGCTTTTAATTTTCCAATAATGGAAAGTGATTGAAGTGTGTCATTAGAGCGCCTGCGCAATGGAACGATAACTGATTTTTCACTTGGAAACCCAATAGCTAACTCAATCTCTATTCGCAATTGCTCTTATAATTTGCAYCATGCAACTTCGCTCAGTGTCCACTCACGGCTCGATGTGCAACAAAAACGAGGAGCATTTTATAAATTTGCGAAGCTGTCTGTGGATACAAATGTACATATGTATGTATGTATGGGAGAGCGTGTGTTTATTAGACGTTACGCCTAAGGCTCCTACAGCATCCTCTTTGCTTTAGTTGGACTGTGTGAAAGCTGACAGGCTGCCAACAACAGCAACACAAACAGGAGGCAAGTGCACTGGCAGCAGCATCACTACAACGTCACATCGCTCAACTCGCTTATAACGTTAGTGACATCCTGCACACACACACATACGTAAATGTGTTCATATATCTGTTTTTCTTTTACACCACAAGCAAAATGTTTGTTTTCAATTATGATTTTTTCGCTTACTCTAATTGCAGTTAAAAGATATGTGCGTATGTTGTAGTAAAGTGCGCTTTAATTAACTTGTTTGATACTTTTTGCCCTTTTAAATATTATAATTCGGGTGTCATTTGCTTACATACCAATCACCCTCAGAGATTTATACCAAGAATAGGGATATTTTTATTTCTTCACTCCCAACTAAATTCTCCGATATTAAGACTTTAATTCAATTAAACCACTTAAAACCAGAAAGTATCAGACTGAACCAAGACATCACGAATCACTGCTAATATTGTTATGGCCGAAACTGCATCCAAGCATATAAAAAAATGTTTGCACACTCAACGTGGTAACTGGCTGTACTCCCCTGTAACTTCCCACGTTTCTATAACAGTCTTCGAAGGCGGAAATAAATCTAACAATGAAGATGAACCTTTGGGTTCAGTGATATGTTTGTGCCCATAAGAGTATTTGATAAAGTCAGTGTGTAAAGTGTGGTATCTCTTCAAAAATAAATCAAGGCCGCGATTTAAACAAACAAAAATAATCAAGCTTGGTTTACAGTCAGCATGAATATATTTTTCCAATTATCATCACAAAAAAATATATCTATATACATATATTAGGATATGGATAGTAACTCAAATAGTTTACCGATATTGCTTTCATTATATGATTTCTATATATTAATTAAATTAAAGGAAATATCTGTAATTAATACAAAATTATTTATGGTGAGTTTGGAAATATATTCCATGCACCTATTAGTAAGCAAACAAACTTTATTAATCGAAGGGTTGATCGGAGCATGTGCACAGATCAAATTACCTACATCAATATGTACTTAAGTGCATGTACACACATACATATATGCATATGGATGTGCAAAATTTAAATACCTGCTTACATGTGTAGAGTGGGAGCTGTTACAAACTTCTTAGTGATATACATATCTACTTGTATACATACATATTTACCTACTTAATGCAGGCAAGCGAAATTGCACTCGTCTATTGATGTATTGGTATTTAACTCGTTTAAACCATTGTTATCGACAGTTGTCCTGACGATGAGGAACGAGTCGAATAACAGCGGGTGCAGACATGCATATGGCTGTAGGCTTGAATACATATTTACATCCGACCGCAGAAGGTTTTTTAACAAAGGTATGCATTACAATATACATATTTACCAATACTTACACATATAGGTGGTCTACTTATGTACATACATGCATTGTATAGTTATCATATTACGAAGTATCCTTGCCAGTGCATTCGATTACTTGAGGAAATACTGCACAACGCGTAAATATACATACATATGTATGTATGTCACCTTAATCACGAAACACACTCGCTCTTCCCTCATACTCAATTAAATGATTTGTGCGTTCGAATAAACATTTTTGATTGCGGGCGACACGTCCTTCAGGATGTTGACACAATATTGTCGCACGGACATACGTACCCACTTCTTTGGCGAATGACTTTTTTTTTTTTTTTTTTTGTGTAAATTACATTAGCTCTATTATCTATTGAACGAAGAGGCTGTTAGATGAATTCATTTCTTTACGAATATGTAAAATTTATTTTTAAGTCGCCATAAAATATTGAATTATTTTAAACAATTGAACGTGTTAATACACGGTGCAGTTCATAAAATCCTTAAGCATATGCATTAATGTTAAGAAAATGCAAATAATGTTAATGTTCATTGCAGCATAAATGTTCCTTCATGTTAATGAATAGTTGTTAACATTCTGTGCTTTAGCATGGTCCGCATAGTACTGTTTAATGTTAGTATCTCTGTTAGCAGTAGTGTTAACCTCTGTTAGTGTTATATTTTAATAGTTTGTGCCATTTTCTTCATTCCGAGCTGGGTCTGTGCTTTTTTTACTCGCTGAAGTAGTCTTGCTCAATGATTAGAGATTCGAATGTTTTTTTGAATTTACATAATTTAAATAATTTGTTAGAGAGTTATTGAAGGTGAAAGGGTTGGTCATATGATAGTGTTGATATCGTTTTTGAGATATTATTATATAATATATTCTTTGAGTTGACTTAATTCCAAAAATGTGAATGATGTAATCGACTAAAGCCCATATGCTTAAATATTTACCGTTATCTTCCTAAGTGAATCCTTTAAAACTGATTCAAAAATATTTAAAAACATACACATGTAAAATTATTTGTTTTATTTAACACCCCCGTACATAAGTGCATATACATATACATATACTTGAACACCTACAAACAAATCAATATATGTATGCTTAACAAATAGAATATAAACTTATTAACTTAAATTCCCTTAATACTTTTACAATATAACTAAGAGCTCGTTCAAACGAAACAAATGCTAAATTAGGATAATTTCATTAGCGTTCTTTTGCCGTTGGTTGCACATTTCCTCAACGTCGCATAGTAAAATGCATATTTACTCTTCCACTTTGTATGCATTTCCAAGTAAAAAATAAATGTTTACATATTAATACATAATTTTTACGTAGTAACGAAATTATATCTTCACTGCACTCTTAACTGTAACTCAAGCAGTTCGCTTGCAACTGTAAACGCTTTCTAATTCTTAACATTAAGTAGTTTTTATTCATTGTAGTATATTGTACTATAAGCCAGCACACTTCTTTTCGAAGTGGACAATTTTTACTTTGACTTCTTTGCCACCTCTTCCGCGGGCTCCTCAATGGCGGCAAGTGCTTCCTTCAAACCTTCAGGTACTTTGTATTTTTGATTAAATACCAGAAACTGCAAAATAGTTTTTATAAAGTTTTCGGTACGAATATTAAAAATTAAAAAACTAAAATATCAACGAGCACACACCTTTCTGGGTCCGGACTTTTCCACGTCTTCGCAATTCATTTTGCCACTCGAATAAAAGCTGTTGATAAAAAAATATTGGCATTTAATCGAAAAATAAATAATTAAAAGCATGAATATACATATGTTGGCATAAGGTTGTGTTTACACATAGAAAACTTTAACTAGATCCTCTTTCATTTTCTACCTATAATTTTTTATTCCTGAAGTTTGTTTGCCTTTGCCAAGTTTACATATTTATTATATATTTAACTTACCGCACGTCGTCACGTGAGAGACCGTTTCGCACAATTGCATAAAAAAGGCCCAAAACCGCTCCACCAACAATGATAAAAAGTGGCGATAACTGGAAAGATTTGAATATGTAAAGAAAAATACAAATTAATTGCTTGCTTTGAAAAATATTTTCCGAAAACTTGAAATATTAAAAGTAATTAACTAAATACGTGCTTATTTTGATAGAAATTATTAAACTGAAGTAAAATGCTGCTTTCTAGATCAACTTATATACGTATATGTATTTGTAACAGATACTTAACTAGGAAATATGCTGCTAAAATTAACGCTAAAAATTAAAAAAAAAAAGTTAGAACGAAACTAGAGCAAAAAACTAGTATCTTTGCTATATACATACTTTTAAAAATTTGTTYAGACATACATACATATTCTTTATAAAAATAAACATCCATATTGTTTTTCTGATAAAAACTTGCTTCTTAAAAACAGAATAGAGAACTGAAAGTAGAACTTTTGCTGGCGAATTCAGTTGCTTTAGAGCGATTCCTTTATCAAAAATTTCTATTTTTGGGGCGTATTCAAAAAATACTGTTATATTTTCTGTTATAAAAAAAATAGTTGCTTTCGAAAGGTGTAAAAAAATGTATAAACATTCGTATATGCGAATATAAAAATGCGTTTGTATACATATACAATATAATTTTGACAAATTTCAAATTTATAATGTTAATGTCAAAATAGTCAAATTTCAAAACTCGCCATCTTTCAAAGCGTCAACCAAGCCTGCTGGCCAAACGTATCTTTGATTGTAGGTGCGCAACTGTAAATATTAAAATATTTTCGTTACAAAACGGCAAAGTTTATCATTCGTCCAAGAATATGAGATTGACGCACCTTTTTTATTGGTGGAGGCTTATTCTTGAGAAGCCGGGTGTAATCTTCATAGGGCATTTTACCAAAGTAACTAAATTTTAAAATGTTTCAATTTCATCTGCTTTACGTAAAATATTTTTATTAGCGCTTACCATACGTCGTCGCGCGTAAGTGCAATCCGTAGGGTCGCAAGAAATTCGCAAGTTAAGCCGCATAATGTGAAAACTATAAGCGGTATGGTCTAAAACAAGTTTCGAGAAATTAGTGGTAGAGCAAATAAGACGCACTTATGTTTCTTTGCTAACACGCTAATATTGTCAAATACAAATGGTTCAAAAAATTGCTATATTGTTAAACAGGTTCTGAATATATACGATAGTCTCCAAAACGCATATTCCTTTTGTAGAAATTTGATMTACATGCTTGAAAGGCCAAATGTCATTTGCTAACACTGCGCCGAGCATGCTGTCGATCCTTCATACGTATTCAGCAATAAAGCGCATGTGCTATCCGCTATGCCTTTAAACTACCTGTGTGAACGAACATGTTGCCGCAACATGTATGCAAGGATTACACGGCTTTTCGTACTGCGAATGTACAGACAAATAGTGGACGAGTATAAAAGCAAATGCTTGAAGCCGAACATATTTTAAAAGCAAAGAAATTGTGGTGAAGAGTGTTGTGAATTTGTAAATTTTTGGAAGCTTTACGATAATTTCATTTTGAACAATATTCGAATAAATTGCATGTTGACATCACATTTGTTGCATAAAAACATTAGATAACCGGATATAGGACAGAAAAAGCCAAAAAATCGTCATAGTGATACGGCAAGTGTTATTTAGATATACTCTACAATATATGTGCAGAAAAATAATATGACAATAAAAACACATAATTCCCTACTCCATAAAATTCACTTGAAAACAGAAAATATTCTACAAGAAAATAACTGAGCAACCACTTTGTGTAGTTACCTAGGGCAACCGTGTGGAAAGCGTTGCTGTTTATTTTTCTCAACGTGTGGAATAATTGAAAATTTCACAACGTAGAAGACTTCTGAACTAAGAGACATTATTTGGTATACGCGTAATTTAATAGTTTACTAAAATTTCTAAACTATAGCATTTGCAAAACAATTCGTTTCATTAATTTTGTATTCGTGGTCGCCACCTGTATGCTAACCTCACTTTCACGCTATTAATAGTCCAAATCAGCTGGACACACACCGTTTTCGCGAATACGACGCCGTTATCCTTCAAAATTCAGCTTAGACGTGAAGTGCACGCCATAAAAGAAGGCGTTACCATGTTACAACACCATCCTCATACTATACCTCTTGCTGCGGCACGTATAAAGGAAGAATCTGCAACCAATCCAACATTTTTCTTTCCACACAGCAATCCCATTGATAATGCTGCTGCAGCTGCAGCCGCAGCCGCTGCTGGACTCATCGATCAACAACACCGTGACCTACACAATGTCTTGGTCAATGCTGCGGCTGTAAATGGTACATTGACCAATACAGCAGCTGCAGTTCTAAAGAGTCAATCAGCTCAACAGCAACAACAGAATAGTGCTGCTCAACAGTCTGCTCAAGCACAAGCCGCAGCAGCAGCCGCACAGGCGCAACAACAGTCACAGCAGAATACCACAAATAACGCTTCCGCACAACAGCAACAGCAGCAACAACAACAGGCGCAACAAAACACCATGGTATTGTTGAATGGTAATGCTGGAGCAGTTGCTGGTGGTAATAATGGTACCGCCAATGGTGCTGTTGTAAAGGGCAGCTCTTCTGGCAGATCGACGCCCGTAAATGGCAGTTCCACCACAGATCCAGCACCAGGCAAACTTTTTGTTGGCGGTCTCAGTTGGCAAACATCGTCGGAAAAACTAAAGGAATACTTTGGAGTTTTCGGCACTGTCACCGATGTGCTAATCATGAAGGATCCCGTGACACAGGTAAGCACGTGGTGTTCTCCTTTCTAGCGTTGATGCGGAGGAGTAATTTTTCATTACTATGCTACCACTACTACTTACAATATTTACCTAAGCATTTTTATTTGTTATGTCTACTATTACTATTCAATGGCTGCCTACGATGGCTTTGGGTGTAGCAATGTTTGTCCTCATCTCTAAAAWTTTTTTTTTAAATACTTGATATACCTTTACTAATCATATTTCTACTACTACTTCATGTATGGTTTTGAATTTTCTTACGTGGTAGGTTGGCAACGTACCATTTTTGTAGTTAGGAACTGCCAGCCGGCTAAATTGGCAAGCAGCTGCACCTTTTTCATTTTATTTCACCTCAGCAGTACGAGCGCGCAACAACAACATAGGAACAATACTGCATTCAAATTAAAAGAATCCGTTGTATTGTAATACGTTCCCGAATGCTAAGCGCAGCTGTAAGAAAGCTGCGTTTTACCTGTACTGCCGCCAGCTACTCAGAAGAGTTTCCAAAAATAAGCAAAACTCATAAGAAGTAAGCAATCTTACAACTCCTATTACGGTATGAAAACTACATTTAATCAACCTTAGAAAATGCAATTTGTCACAATTCAAAATGTCCTGCTATAAAAAATGCTTAAAGCATGAATGTAGGGCATTCGCCCCTGTGACTTAAATCAAACCAACGTTCGTCACTCCGGCGCATTGTAAACATTTAGCGCGCGCTCATACTATATACACCGCGTCCAACTGACGCAAACATCTGCCATTGATTCGAATATATTGTTGGCTTGCCGATTGTTGTATTATTGTACGATATAAAAACCGGCAGCAACGCGCAGGCGCAATATTACAGCTGTTCAATTCAATTTTGTTATATTACAATATAACGTACATGCTTATAAGCGTATAAAACGTTCGCCCTTGCGTGGCATGTCGCGTCAGCGCACAGTTGGGCTTCGTTGTAGGGCTATGGCACAGGATAATTTTGAATTGAAATAAAAACAGGAATTGAAAACAGTACATTCTGTACTGCTATTCTTTACTTGTCTGGGGTTCAGCTCTTCCACTCCTGTTACTGCTTATTATGCCTGCTTTGCTACCTTTTGTACATTGCTTTTTTTTTTTTATTTATTCATACAATTTCGAYATGTCCTGCCGCTTCGTTTAAAATTTCTTTTTACAAGTTTTCGGTTTTGCGAGTCTGTGAAGTGAGTTTCCTTCACTACTTTTGATATTGTCCTCACAATGCCGTGCTGTTCTGCTCTTATGCATTCCTTTATTCTAAACATTTACACTTCGTGTGACCTTCTTTGTTTTTGCATACTGGAGGGTGTGCTTGCGTTTGCATACTAGCCAAATATGTATTTCGTATTTCGGATAAGGCAAAAACACACCTGTCTTCAATGGTGTGTTAAGGATGAAATTTGTTTATATCGAAACGTATTTTATTTTATTATATATATATATTTAACTACTCATACTTTATATATTTTGAAAGTAGCATCATAGATCATGAAATTATTTCAAATGACAGGAAGCTTCAATAGCATTACTTAAACATTAAGTTATAGTTTGCATATTATCGTACAGGTATGAATAATTATAAAACAACTGAACGTACTTTTAAGTTCAGCTAATATCCAACAAAAATTGTAAAACACAAACAAACGTAGTGGTGTAGTTAATCATTTATCAAGTAAGGTATGGTAAAATCTAAAGAAGGCAGCGAGTTATGTATTATATAAACTGACGCTGTCGAAATTGATTTATTTACGTTATTAAAAACTAAACATTACTATGGATTTGTACTGAATTTAGAGAAAATACAGTCAACAGGCAAAATAGATTAGCGGTTAAGCCGGCACAAGCAAGGATAGGTACATAACGCATGCGCATGGAATACACAGTCAAACGATGCAAACTGGTGTGTGTGTGGTACAACTGAAATTGTGGCATACCTGAGTCATTGGCCGTGGTGAAGCAAAAACACAAAAATAAAGAAGAATACTACCGTTCGTTTATGTCAGTCGTTTATAACGGCGAAAACATTATGTGGCAGCTGCGCGACAGGATTACCAACAAACAACAACAACTACTGCTCGCATTCACCAAAACTGGTTGAGTGCAAGCATTAAAGGATAACTATGAGAAAATGCTGAACGGAGAAGCTCGTTTTCGGGCACAACACTGGAGTTACGCTGACAAGCAACATTACTCACTTTGCATATGCTCAACACAGTCTGCGCACTCGTTTGACAAGTTCTTCTTCGAGAATCATAGGTATTTGTCTACAACATTTTTTCACATAACTGTCGCATATGAAACATTGACGAATATAAAATTGTAATCGTATTTGTTTAAAAGCTCATTAAAGCAAATTACCCGTAACTCTATAAGTAGGACTCAATCGCAGTGTACTCGTAACTTTCCAATAGTATATTGTGTATTTAAAAATAATTAATATTTATACTACCACCATTTACAAACTATTGATCCCCAAAGCTGTAAATTTACCTATAACTGTAATGAACTTTTGTGCCTTATCACCCCTCAGTAATACATAAAATTATTAAAAAGGGATTGTATATTGTAACCAATTCAAAAAATAATATTTTCATCGTTTTAATATATGTTTGATATTGATTAGGAAATGTATTTATTTACCAGTGTTAATTGTTTTAGAGCAAAAAATGAAAGTCGACAAATGTTGAATTGTACAATTCTATAACTCATATAATATTTTAGTGTACTTATGCATATGTACGTGTAAAATAAATTTATAACGAGAGAATTAGTTAAACATATAATTCTAGGTTTGTATTTCTAACTCCTGTAAGCATTTAACTTCAAGTCTATAGCTGATGATCTTACTAGAAAAATATTATAATGTATAATTCAAATCTGTTGCGAAAAACATTCTTCTTCGAAAAATACTAAAACTTGCATAACATTAGTTTAAATTTAAATTGAAGTCAGTTTGGAGGCAAAAGAAAAATGATTTCATGCAAATAATACAAAACTGGCATATTTGTATAATTAAAATATTAACCAAAGGGCGCCTTTATATAAATATTTTAACTTTTTTGCTTCCTTTTCGTCTATTTGTTTTAATTAAGCTAACGTTATGCATTAAATCTATAACATTTAGTTTTAAAATTCATTAGTCTTTTTTTAAATTTATTAATAATTGTATGTACTTCGTAAATATGCCTTTGGCTGTATTTAAGTATCAATTAATGCCTTAGCAAGGGTCTCAACATAAATAAGCTAAGAAAGACCGAACGTTGAATGTTACTCTAGCAGCAGTTTAGTCAATAGTCTAAAGTATTATTTTTCATATTCTTAAATCCTTTTTCGTACTGTAATTAGTCTGTTTTCTTTGCTTACTGCAGTTCAGTTTCTAGTCAATGAATATCGTTAGCTAGCTTTCTTATATTTTTGARTGCAAATTTTATTTTATTCTTAGTAAATTTATATATAGCTGAARTATTAAAACCATTTTCTGCACAGCTTTTCAAATAATCCTATTTGTTGAAAAGTCGACTTTTTATTTAGAAACTTGATTTCTTCATATTAGCGAARATATAAATTTGTCAAGCTCATTTTTAAAATAAGTTAACAAAAATGTAGCCCAAAATGAATGGCTCAAGTGTCGAACTTTGAAAAAGAGCTACTTTCTCGTAGAAATTTTATTTCGTTAGCCATAAGTAAGCGTAATGCGCAACATTAAAGAAAATAATTATTAGACAATCGTWAATAATCTAGCGGCATATTAAACGAATATTTTGAATTAGTTGTCTCTCGTATTTAAATAATTTAGGTACATATTTGTGTATATATGTATGTACAAAAGCAAGGCTATATCCTACCATTTAATATTGTTAATTGTAATGAATAATAAAATTTCTGCTAATTTAGAAGGGAATAAGAAAAAATAAAAAATTTAAAGTTTGTATCATAGATAGTACAATCCAAAAATGTATTATTCGTTAAAGCGTTTAGCTGTAAGTGCCAAAAAAAAACAGTTGTGAAACATTTTTTTCTTATTGTAATTGTAAAAATGTTCCTTAAATGACTGTACCAGAGCGCGTGTACCTTTGCGCTCTAATTATGTAATATGTAATCATGTATTGTTTTGTGAATATAATATAAACCACAATTATAATATATTGTAATTTATTGTTAACAACGCAATAGTATTAATGCTTACGTCCTTAAGACATACCGACTATTTAATAAGGTGTGCTGGTCTTACTAACTCGTTTTACAATTTCCTAAAGGAAGCTTATTAAACGTAGCCACTCTCATGTACAAGTTGTAGGGTCGTGAGCATACTATATACAATTTTAGTTTTCAGCAAGTGAAATTGTAAGCGCCTTTAAAAGAAATATATGTGTGTGTATCCTTAGACTATAAATTAGGCGCTCCATTAGCGTAAAACTTTAATTATCATTTAAGCGTATTTATTCAACCATACATCTACATATATACTCGTATAAGTAACTAAATAACCAATTTATATAGTTATATAAAAGTATTTATGTAGCGTTCAATTCGGTCTAAAGGCAAATCTGTTGTTAGGCTGACAATTCCTGGTTACTTGTTTTTGAGCGTGTCTCCGCTGACGTGCGTGTGTGTGTGTATGTATGCGTGTAAATAGTGACTAGAAAAACTTTAGCCCGGTATACTTCCATTTATATTGTAAAAATATTTAGTTCGTAAGTTTATGTAGACTTTTTTCTACCACTTAGGCCTTTGCCATTTTTGTTTACATTTTTAGTTGTCCCTTGTGTTTATGAGTAAAATGTATACGTAATTCCCAAAAAAACTTTAATTTTATATTATTAGCTTTTGTTTTTTGTTTTTACAAATTAAAAGAGGAAAATTATACTTCTGCATCTAATGTTCTTTGTTAATCCTTGTCGAGTACTAGAAATCCCATACACACATATACACTTAGAAAACATTTCGGTGTGAAAGAAAGTTAGCTTTACCCTTAGAATTTTTTGAACTTTACAAATTGCAAAACTTTATACATATATGAAAATTTTGGTATTGGAAGGCGGTTCCAAAAAACTTTTCTTGCCTAGGTGTCTCGTTTTGGGTGATTGTATGACCGTTATTAGTTAACAAATTAAGAAAAAAAAAAAGAAATTTTGTGACATAACCTATAAAATCGTTTTAGCAGCAAATAAAAAGAATTTTTAACTCAAAATAAAATATTAATTTGCGCTATGTATGATGTTTGACTCCCCTTCACAGTTTTTTTTATTATGTAAATTACTTATTCACCGAAATCTGTGAATATCGTGGGTTTAGCGATGCTACAAATTACTCGAATCCCTTAGATTGTGTTGCGGTGCTTTGGAAAAAAACTCGAAACGTTTTGGTTTAGGGTTAGACACGTAATTTGTTTGTATCCATGTATAGATTATGCGTCTAGGTTATGTTTGAGTTKTTTGACTACTAGACTATATTTAACRGATTTACACAGCCAATATATATATAGAGTATATAAATATAAAGTAAATCGTTTTTAATGTCTCTTTTTTACTTCTACGCATAGTATTTATTTCCATCAATTGAATTGAAGTTCTTAACTACATATAAAATATACGTATTAATTTAAAAATTTCTTATAACCAAAGTACAATTGCAATTTAATTATACTCGTACTCCTTTACTACTTGAGAAAATTATAAAAACAGAAAGCAAATTTTATAAACTGCCTAGCGTTGATTAAATTGAATTGACTTGAATTGCTCTTGCGTACTGCAGTTTTGCGATTTAGTTGAACTTAGTTGCAACAGATGTTTTCTTATTAAAAATAATGTATTCGTATTTTAGTAGCTATCTCTCGTTAGTATTTACTACAAACTCCACACTTTTTACTAATATAAACAATTTTCGCTTTCTCCCTTCATCACCATCTCCAACACGAAATCGGTTGCGCTTTGCTTGCCGTTGTTATGACTTACAGCGTAGTCGCGGCTTTGGTTTCATTACATTCCAAGAGCCCTGTAGCGTTGACAAAGTCCTACAGGTGCCCATACACACACTGGACGGCAAGAAAATCGATCCCAAGCATGCCACACCCAAGAATCGGCCACGCCAAGCTAATAAAACAAAGAAGATATTCGTTGGTGGCGTCTCGCAGGACACCTCCGCTGATGAGGTGAAAGCCTATTTCAATCAGTTCGGCACTGTGGAGGAGACTGTGATGCTGATGGATCAGCAGACGAAACGTCATCGCGGCTTCGGTTTTGTGACCTTCGAAAATGAGGATGTTGTGGATCGTGTTTGTGAAATACACTTTCACACTATTAAAAACAAGAAAGTCGAATGCAAGAAAGCACAGCCCAAGGAGGCTGTCACACCAGCTGCTGCACAGCTGTTGCAGAAACGTATTATGCTGAGCACATTGGGTGTGCCTTTACCGACCGCACCGGGTCAATTGATTGGTACACGCGCCGGCGTCACCACAATGAGCTCATTGGCCATGTTGCAAGCGCCATCACCATTGCAACTGCATGCCGCTAATGGCGCTGCAGCAGCAGCTGCACAACAGGCAGCGCTCATCTCGCAGTCACCCTTCCAAGTACAAAACGCCGCCGCTGCGGTCGCCGCCAATCCAGCCAGCTTTGGCAAATTGCTTACCACATATCCACAGGCCTTGCACAGCGTCAGGTAAGCGATGGTTTTCCGAATTGAGCCTACCAAATGTTAGCTGGACCATTTGTAATATGTTTTATTGTTTCATCTCCCAACAGGTATGCACCATATCCCATACCGACGAGTGCTGCCGCCGCCAACGCCTTGGTACAGGCTCAGCAGCAACATGTCGCGGCACAACAACAACAGCACGCGAATGCTGCTGCCGCCGCTCAACAGCAACACACTGCCCATGCTGCCGCCGCTGCTGCAGTACAGCAACACAACGCCGCCAATCCACAAGGCGTGTCCGCTGCACAGAGCGCACACAACGCGCTCACCGTTACCGGCCCAGGTGGCGCAGCGAACGCGCACGGCGCCCAGGCGGCACATCACCCCCTCGCCGCAGCCGCTGCCCAACAAGCAGCTTTGGTCGCCGGCAACCCATTGAGCGCGGCCGCMGCCGCCGCCGCCGCAGCCAACCCATATCAGAGCTATGCGCTTACCAATGTGGACATGTCCAGCTTTCAGGGCGTTGACTGGAGTCAAATGTACGGCATGGGCATGTATGTCTAAAGCGTAGCATGCGCATTGGATTCATTTAAAAAATTTAAAAGTACGAATTGTGCGTTTTTTGTTTTGTTTTTTCACCAAGTAAATGGAGAGTGCAGAAGTAAAAATATTTTTTATTGGAAGAAAGGAAATATATTTATATTTATAGCAATAAATCAATGTCATTCTCACTAATGCATGCGCGCTAAGCCACAATACATTACATTAAGCGCACGCTGTAAATGTGTGTGTGCGCATTGCAACAATTACAACAATTTGTGATAAATGCATAGTTGTTTATGTGGTATGCTTGAGTAATGAATTTGTTAATTAATTTATTGAGGCGCTGACTACGACATACATTTTAAGTTCTCAATATCATCTTGAATTATATTTAAACAAAAAGAAAAGAAGAAATAAAAACACACCACAAGTGTATAAAATGCTTATTATTACCTTTATTATTACATATGTATGTATGTATATGAATTTAAGYTCAAGTTATGCGCGYGCTCTGTTTGCTAGTTACTTAGCTTAAGCCAACGYAAACATAAAGCTCATTTGCATGCGCAAGCGTTACAGCAAAGTGGCCAGAGTGCGCGAAAGACATTTGTTTAGCAACAAAAAGAGAGAATTCACGCGTTTTCTGCTGGCAATGGAAGACACGCCAACGCATAAATGGCAATAATTCATAATTATTTGAAAAGACARACTCTAGAGAGTATAGCAGCGCTAAATAGCTGAAAATCTGAAAATCTGCAGTGCTATGYGCATAATAATTAAAGCTACAAACAATAAACATACATGTATTTAGTTATAAGTGACTCAAAGCAATGAATACATGCATATATACATATGTATAAGGAATTATAAGAAACTAAGGCGAAATTTCGATATGCGCGACTTCTTAGTGACTACAAATGGCAATTTCTTACATTTTGCGCGCGCATTGCCTAAAATGCATTTGTCAATTTCAAAAGTAAACTCAATGACATATGTAAATTGTGTATTTGTTATTGTTAAACAGATGCCGCTCTTAAGTATTATTATAAAAACAAAAACTTACAATTTTGTGTGCGCCGTTCGCATTTGTTCTGCGCCCAAATGGCATAAGCGCATGTACTCAATAATATAATAATAATAATAATAAAAATGTTGGAAAATTAACATATATAGTATATTTAATTTTAAGCATATAAACAGAGCATTAAACAAAGTAGCAAAAAACAACAAAAAAGAACACAAGAAAAAATGGTAAAAGTTTTACCTACAAATGTTATATCTCATAAGTTATAACCGAGTTGCAGGCAAAGTGAAAAAAAAAAATTACAATTAAGGAAAAGCATACATATATTAATAGTACTAATCATTAAACATGACATACACAACATTGCATATAACAATAACTATAAAAATAATGAGAATTAGAATTTTAAACCACCGACTTGATTGCGTTTAATTTAGGTGAACATGACAACAACAACAAAAGTAAATACATACTACACACAATTTAACGCATATATTATCATATACATGCCAATTACATGCATACATACCGACATTACTTACAAGTAGTTTTACATACATACATACATACATATGTATAGTATATGTGCCGTTAACTGAATTGCGGCGGAAATGTATAGTAGTTATGAACAGTTTCCTAATAAAATCATACATTTAAGCCAGACATTCAGAGTTCATATGAGCACAGCACTCATTTTTCGTACGCAAAAATATGGTTGTGTGTTCGTTTGATTCCCTAAAGCGGCCTGAGTACAGGCGAAACTCTAAATGAATTACATATATTTTCAAAGCAAACTAGTAACTGCTGTAGCGGCTACTGTTTAAAAAAAAAGTTAAAAAATGTCGCTCCAGCAAACTGGACAATTCGAACACAAGCTTTGTAAGGGTTTTTTCTTATTTTGATATATTATTCATATATTGGCCGACCAAAAATCGAATTTTACGCAAAATTTTTGCAGCCGTGTCCTGCAGAAAACTGGTTTTAATATTGAATTTCAAAACCAGTACTTTTTAAAAGTAGAAACAAATTTTATGACAATTTTTCAGTGAAGACTGTAAATATGTCTGCAAAAACAGCCCCAAAAGACAGTAAATTTTAATAACTAAAAACGCCCAAAGCAAAAGCATAAGCAATACTCAACACTATCGTCTGCATTTTGTGGTTTTCTATGGGAGAATATCTTTCAGAAAAGCTTTACGGTCATTAAAATAAATTAAAATTGAACATACACACACATATACCAACCTATTTGAATTGGCATAAATTATTTCTCACATTAAAACCGCTGTTTTCAACACCTTTTCTACGAAATTTTTGCTACATCTGCTCACATCTCGAAACATGGCTTATATACCTACATATATAATACCTGCAGTAAACCCTACTTTTGTAWATAAAATAATAAAACAAAAACCTTAATACCATAAACACAWCCTACTATATACCGTTTCCATACTAGAAATTTGTATTTAGCGTGTTTAGTTTAGTTAGTATTTCCTTTGATAATACTTTTTCATAACAAAATAGTTTAGTAAATACTTTAGACATATGTATGAAGTGAATAAATATTGTAATTGCTTGCCCACTACTATTATTTGAATTTATTACAACAAAACAAAAAGAAAAAAAAAATTAAATAATATATATATCGTTAATGCCTAAAAATAAATTATAATGATATTCAMACTTATAAATATTAGCAATGAAGGGCAGTAAAAGCTCCGTGCTTATAAGTTCCAAGTTCAACGAAACATAAGCGAATGTTTTATGATTTATTTCGAATTTTCATTTTAATATTATTAGTGTTTGTTTTAAAAAAACATAATTTTTTAATTTCTTTAAACAAAAATATTGTTTTTGCACTTTTATAGTACCGCCTGTATTAGTACGTAGTTTTTTGGTTTAAATTCGCACAATTTTTATTTTTTATTTGACAAATAAGTTTGATGTTTTATTTGCTTTTCCACTTAAGCACTAACAGTACTTAACAATCAAAAGATTTTGGCGTTATTCGGCGAATATGTTGCATAAAGAGTGCGATTGTAAACGAAAGTGAGAATTTTTTATAAAATGTTATTTGAAAGAATCCCTTAAAAAATCCAATAATTATATAACTAATTATAAAAACTTATTTTATTAGCACTTTTCGCTTTTCTTTAACATTACTTCGAGGACCGTAAGTCTAGAGCAACCCTTTATATAATATTAATAATTAAGCGCAATTAACACTTATTAATATTATTATGATAATTATTATACTTATAGCCTTAGTACAACTTATGCATTTTATGTAAGGACCGGTATTTCATATTATTTTCTTTGGATTTTTATTTGTTTTGCAATTATTTGTAAGCGATTTCAATATAGGGTACATATATTTTTACGTAATAATTATTTTCGTTTATAAATAACTAAGAAGGAGATAATAAATACTATTTTTAATTATTCATTTGTTTGTTAAACAAATATTAACTAATTACATTTACCACTAGTWACAGCATTAACTTAATTCTAAAAATATCACATACATACATATATAATATATGCACACTGGTGTCATTAACATACTTTTAAAACATACATATATACATTGAAATCACTCATCAAGGATTTGTAGCGTATAAACGTAGTAATTACGATTTGTAATATTTTAATTGTTATAATTTGCCAGAATGTACAAATATTCTTTGAYATTTCAGCAGCAGAAAGTATTACTAGCTTAAGCTTGCGCCTGCGCACGCATTCTGAGGTTAGTTCTGTAACGTAAAGGTACAACTTCACGCTTACACATGCATATAAAGGTCTGTGCTGTTTTTTCCTTTTTCAAAAAATTACTCTTCATGTGCGAAATTTGGAAAATTTCATTTGATTGGAAATTTGTTGGTTCAAAAACTTTGAAACAATTTTCAAATCCAAAAAATTAAAAAACATCGTAACACTTGTGGAATTTGTTTAAAAGCAGAAGAGTTTTTCCGAAATAGCAAGAGTAAGCAATAAACAGTTATATTTGATAACTCGATTGTCTAACTATTCTATGACATCCCGAACTTTCTCCTATCGTGTCTTGTTTATTTGCAGTATTTTCCATTATRGTTTGCTTAAATACATGTGTACTTTATGTATTTATGTACAAACAGTTTATTTTTTAGCTGTTATTTTTCGATTCACTTTCAATTTATTTTAAAGMGTTGAACGAAGTTTTGTGTATTTTTTGTTTTTGTATGTTTTTTTATCTCTAAAAATTATTTGCATGTTAATTATCTAATTTTGAACACTATAAAAACAAAATATAAAAAGTTAATTTATAAGGCAGACACAATCGATATTAAAAGCTAACTTAGAATTTCAAAAACAATTTGTTTTGTACCAGAAATCAAAAATGGTAACAATTGATTGTCCCTTTGCTGCTAAACCCTAGTTCAATAATTTTTAAACTTCAGAACAGATATTGCTACCGAATTTGTGCTAAAAATTTGACGTTACAACAATATTCTAGTTGTATACAATTTTATCACATTGCAGTGCTTGCAGCAGAAATAATATAACAAGCATACATTTTTTTTACATATTTTTGTTTTTATCAAAAATTCTAACCTCTAAAATCTTTAAAAAGGAATAATAAAACTTGTTCGACTTTAGCATTTTTCTACTTAAAAAAGTATTTCCCGCTCACAACAGCACCCTCATGTTCACATTTAGTTCCAAAACTGGGAAAACAGTTTTGTTTAAAACAACTTTAGGTTAAGTAAAATAAAAAATCACATTAAAATAGTATATACTATACATACATACATGCACACCACCCACCCACATTCATTGCTAACTCAWCCCCACAGTTACAACAACGTAATAAATTGGAAATTTTCGTTTAGTAAATTTGTTGCAAATTTTGCATTAGTTAGTTTTTGTTTTGGAAAATCTATTTGACACAATCAGCGAGAAATATTACATAAACCCACACATATATACTATAACCTATGTATTATGATTTGAATTAGAAAGTAAATTGAACTTGTCTGCATGTCTAGTTTTGGCTTAGACAGAAATAAGTATAAATAAATATTGAATATTTTTAGTTTTCGATTTTCGATTTGTAAAACTTAGTTGTTAGTCTTTACTTACATATTTGTTTCTAGTTTTAGTTTTACTTACTGACTTATATTGAATATGATTTTTTCATGGTCAAGTATTTTTGCTGTATGAATTTGATGAAAATTTTAAGTTTTGATTTCTTTAGTATTCGTCTATTTCTTAGTTGATATCACATAAATATTTCATGCATTGTAAATAATTTGAAAAACTTTTGTGAAATAAATTTGAGTAAAAAGTATGCAAAAGTCTTACATTTATTTGAAGCTACATACCTACTACATACTACATACATATGTATGTTCTAGTTGTATACAATTTGGCTAAACCAATACTAAGTAAATGAATATTTGGTTTACATAATTACAAAGCTACATACATATTTCGTGCGTTAATACTATTATGAGTACATACATACAATATATTTGGATTCAAATTGAATTGCCAACTTATTATTACGGCTATCACATACATATATACATACTCTCTAGTATATATATATATTTATATATTAAGCAGCAAATTAATAAAAGCGAAAATGTAATTTTGTACTGTGTTTTTATTACAGTTAATCGTATATTTGTAAAAATTAGTGATTTGTTTGGTATTTAGTCTGAAGCATACATATATATTTCCTTAGTTGTGTGTGTGTTTGCGCATACACTCCTACATACTGTTAATGTCTGTTTGGCCTACTGTACATATATTTATTTTTATTAGCTGTTGTTGTTGTGTTGTTAGAAAATTTAACCTTTTCTCTTTAGTATTTTTAGTATTCAAAACAAAAAAAGAAAACACAAATTTTGGTGAACGACATTTTGAAACCCCATTTGATTATGTAATTCATACTGAAAGTTGCATTAGATTGTTTTTCCATTCAACTCTTAAGCAGCGTTTTTGGCGAGCAGGAGGTAAGTGTTCATAATAAACTTGCATTTGTATGTAATAATAAGTATCTACTTGTAGAGGCGTTGGAACCCTGAACAAATATTCGCAAAACTGTAGAGTAATGTATGAAATGAGTAAATTTTTTTAAATTATATTTGATAATTTTTATATTCCATATGTGTGGGTAATTATCATTAAAGAATATAGAAAAAATACAAAAAATAATTTTTTCAGCAGCGCAATGGTTAAGTGCATATTGTTACTGTTATTGTTTTTTCTTTTTTT